CATGATTTACACCGATGCTGTACGAGCTTAATCTTAACATCGTGTGTTTCCAGCAGGACACAGCCACGTTACACACTGCTCGACAATCGATGGCAGCAGTTCGTCAATTGTTTGGAAGTCGCATTATTTCACGTAACGGTGACATTGAACGGCCTGCGAGATCCCCTGATCTTAGTGAGCGACTTCTTCCTGTGGGTACAAGGTGTACCGTACAAGTCCTGCAACAATCCATGACTGAAGGAGAACATTGGAAAAGAAATCACTGCCATTCCCCACGATTTGCTACACCGCGCATTCCAGAGTTTTTCATAACAGGCTGTTAGAGGATGAACGACGAATGAGAGCACATTTTGCCGGTGTCATCTTTAAAAAGTAAAGAGACACTTTTGGACATTTCGATTGTAAAAAATTTAATGAATACATGCGCTTTTGTTACTAAATTGTTTGTTGAATGGATTTATTGGTGCAAATAACGTTAATTGAAAATTCCCCGTTTTCCCTGCGCCATTCTGTATTTGTCTACTCGTCCAAGTGGATTTCAAACTTCTATGACCGTCCTAGCAAGTCAAATTCAAAGTCTATGCAGCTATGGCACGTTCCATGAAAATATTTACCTTATAAGTTGTAAACGTTTGTGACTCACATGTGATTCAGACATTAAAAACCATTGGGTGTTAAGTTTTTTGAACAGTGTCATAGGGCAATGAACGTGTTAAATGATTTATATTCTTGGATTAAAATAATATGAAAGGCAGTAATACTATTTAAAAACATATGGGGAAAGTGTTTTTCTTTTGCTGTAAGATTGGGGCATCTGATATATTTGCCTCGTGGTGCTACTTTTCCAACTCGCAAAATAAAATGGCACTTGTATCATAACTGTTTTTCCTGAGCGAATGTGCGGTAATGTTTTTCTTTTCAACGCTGTTGGTATTGTTCTTGCGTAATGCTCTGTAACAATGTAATATTCTATAGTATTCACATTAATTTGGCATGTCTACTGTAACCACTGACTCACCCGGTTACCTGATTCCTTCGACGATTCAGCTTTGCCCGGCTGCTTCGTCGGCAGACTCCCTAGAGGGAGGCATGCGTGATTGCCTAACTACTGAGGCATTTTCTTAATATTACTTTAATCAATCTTCAATTCAATGCGGGTGAAGCCCTATGCCAGAACAAAACTTATAATTTACCTTACAACTAAACTTAAAGAAGGCCGACATGACCAGAGTTCATATTAGCTCCGTGGTTTTCGCCCTCCCGGGCGGTTGTGTCCCAGCTTACAGGGCAGCGTACGGGAATCCTAGCGCCCGGCAGGTCTAGCGGCGGGCAGCCACGGTCGGTGCTTGCCCCAGGACCCTTTGAGGCGACCAGTCGGCCGCGGTGGAGGCCCACAGTCTCCGGATTAGGCCAGCGGCGTGAGTCGACCGGACGCCGCCTCAGCGTCGCTCAGCGCGGGCGGGCGGCAGGTCGCTACGTGGTCGTGTCTTTCACGCCCCACCTCGTACTCACTTTGCTCTTGCGGTCAGGCACTCACATGCCATAGTTCGGCTTCCGTCACGCGAGTCGTGCTGCGATAGTGGCGAGGCGGCGCGGCATTCGAATCAAAGTAACAAGTCTACCCACTCCGAAACAAATCAGCTCGCTCCAAAAACAAGTGCTCGATTGTCCTTCGGTGGTCCCTCAGGAAGGCTCGCGTGTCACGTGATTCCTCCCCCGCGTCTCACATCGCGATTGGTAGTCGTGGCACCCGTGGTTCCTCCGCCCTATCACCGCCAGCGCCATAGCTGCGCTCCGGCAACTTTCTCCGAAGTAACCTCCGTCACGTAAATTCCAAGAACTGGGCGTGGGTAATTCCGTTGCTCGGTTTCGGGGTGCGAGAGGCGTATTTCCCCATGCGTCACGAGTGTGCGGCCGGCGTGGGCTGCGTTGAACAAAGGAGGTGCATTCCTCCGTTCCCTCGGCGCGGCCTTCAGGTATCGCAAACGGCACGTTTTCTGCTGCTCTTTACGCAGGCGCGCTTCCATCTTAAATTTAATATTTAATTCGCATCGCCATCTGACATGTGCGACCATCCCATTACATTACCAAGATATAAGCTCATTTAGTGTAAACCACGTTCATATCAGGTTCATAGGAAACTATTTCTTTAAGTGACTCGGTCCTGCAAATGTAATATGTAATGAAGTCTCCAACATAGTATAAACTCATAGGGCGAAGAAATATGGGAAGGCCCAACAAAAGACGGATTGCTCAGGATCATCTGGAGGAATAATCACCAGATCTTCTATTTTAATTGGAACAGGCATCGGATCTACTATCCTGCTATTCGTGACGATGTTAACTCATAATTTCACATTTTAGTTCTTATTTTAGATGCTATTTTAATTTGAAAGTTTTAGAGCTTAAAATTCTGTAATATATTTCAGAAAGAACTTCAGACCCCTAGTTGCGAGTCTGCTTTGAAGTTTATTGTTGAGCATTGAAAGTGTTCATGATTTCATTTGATCTCCCTCTGGTATAAGTAATCGACCCTCTCACTATCCGTTCTTTAGAGAATTCTGTTTTTTATGCCTGCTCTGCAGTATTGTAGTATAATTCGCAACATCTCGATCCGGTGTTTTCTGTCCAGTTTCCCTGGTCCCTTGAGCAAGTACTAAGATGGCCCCTTGTTCTGCTTCCTGTCATAAATGTAACTTCACTCTCTCCAAGACATCATATTGAATTGTCATACACAATTGTAATTGTGTATGTGACTCCAAAAAAATATACTGTATTGTATTATTGATAGCATGCTGACACATCAATGAGAATGGATTACTGTTCAGCATTTCACGTTTTCAAATAGTGTTCAATATTATTTAAAATTAAATATATACCAAATAATGTAAATTACTAGGCCTCATAAAAAAGCGATAAATACACTACTCCATGCATTATAACGCTTCTTTGAATTCTGCTTTTTAAGCGAGCGTATTTGTATCATCTGATCTCAGCCCATGGGGTATGGTACTTAAAAATTCGGAGTGATGCACCCAGTGACGGATCCAGGGGGACAATGTCCCCCACCCTCCACAGCATATAACTGGCAGATCAAGGCGCTGTTGTCAGACATTACTACGCTCATGGCACCACCTACACGCCTTGATATCATGTTCATAACTTTCGCCTCCTTGACTTCGTGGAAATCAGACGAGCGGCAACGCTAAACCCTGGCTGTAAGAAAGTAAACAAATCTTCGCAATCTGATTGCTTAAGAGCAGGTCACGTGACGACAGAACTTTCAGAGTCGCTTATATACTGCCCAGGGCTTCTAGTTTAATATGGCTAGGTTTGGCATGCCTTCTCGGTAAGTATTAGTGTGGGTTCCGCCCGTCGAGAGGCCCTGCAGTCGTAGACAGTGAATATTAAACAAAGAAAGAGAATTTGAAGGACACGAATGCGACCGATCTTTTGGACAACAAAATTACTTTTAAAACAGATAGTGGAAAAGTTAAAAAAAACAAGCAATTTTTAATTTACTTTTCTGAATTGAAAAAAAATTAATAAGAACATTTTGAATATCACAAATGAAAATTTTTATCCAAAAAGGAAAATGAAAGTGAAGTTAACTGCTCAGGTTTTGAGTGTAACTATTGCTAATGCACTATATAAACGTGGTGTGGAAGGGGCCAAGTATTTGGCTGAATTTATTAATGACATCACTCGTCTCTTTGGTGTCGAAATACCGACGCTGTTTCCACATAGTGGAGAATGCTCGGAGACTTGGAAGTGACATCGTTGGCAACTCGACCTCTCAACCAAGATCCACTTGAGAAACTCTGCGATGTTGTGAGGCAGCGTGGTATTCGCAACAACAACCCTACAAGACTGCAGTATGATTCAACTTTAAAAACATGTATTTTGAATGTTTCAGTTGTCATCGACAGTTATATTTCAGTTGGATGATAGTAATTACATGATATTGATTTCCAAATTAATTATTAATAATATATTGTCATGTTTAACTAGTTATGTTTTGCAATTTTACAAGTAATGTCTTGGCAATGCTTGGAAGTACAACAGTTAAACATAATTGGAATATCAATACTATAAATTTTTGATATCTTGAATCAGTTTTCATTCCCTCCAGTAGTTTGTAATAGCAAGTGAATTTTTAATCACTTCAATATTGATTGATGGAAGAGATTTTTCAAGATTAAGTATTTTCATAAGAGATATTATGTTGATTTATTGTTCAGATTTCATTGAAGTAACCAAATGATGGTTGTGAACTTTTGATGTTTTGGTATTATTTCCAAAATCAATATTTATCAAATTGTATTACTTTGAGAATTTGTATAACTCTTCAGAAAATTTACCATTGTTTCTCCGATTTAATTGTAATAAATCGGTGTCGTTTAATTTTATTGAGTTGTTTGTTATCTTGAGTCACTTCCATGGCAGGGTATCCTACATTTCCTACAGAATCCTAAATTCAATTGTAAATTATCCTCAAAGGAATGTACAAGAAAATACTGTGCATCGACTTGGTGGAAATATCTTACGTCATTACCCCCAATATGGTGCGGCCCTACCACCGTTCAGTTTAATTGAAGTGCCGCCCGTTCGAGCGCAGCACTATCGCTAGCCACGAGAATTAACACGTAGTTTGGTAGTTCCCATGTAATGAATAAAATGGGCGTCCAAGAAATGGACGTCATGGTTGTCGGTGTAGGTGACAGTTCGCAGTAAACATAGAATGAACAGTAGCGGAGAAGTAAGTTATAACGTGTGTGATGATAGTCAGTGTGTTTTCCCTCGTACTAAGTTGGTTTGTAAAATAATAATTGTGTTGCATTGAAGAGTATGTGAAATGCCTGCTCTAATAACCTCATAATTTTAGGTTGATTGATCCCATATTAAACCAGCGAAAATGGGGTTGATTTCACCTTACGGAAATCTTAAGGGCTTTGCGACAAGCAGACCACCTCTGATGGTTTTTACATTGTGTTTAACAGCGTTTGCGGTGACAACGTTTTCACTGGCTTACTTCATTCGACATGCAGAAAATATACCCAACTTCGACATACGATCGGTAAGGCAAATGTTTCAGTGATGTATTTTAACTAAAGATGAAGAAATATATTGTTAGAATATTTAATTGCAAATGAAATAAGATAAATGTTCCTTTCGCTCTTCATTGGAACATGTATGCACAATCTTATTTGAATTTGTTTTAGGATTGGGCAGGTTTCTTGAAATACTTAAGTGACCTTGACTTGTGTGTAATAGTAGATGAAAATGCAAGGATTACCGGTAATACGAGTCATATGGTGGTGGATACAGAAGCAGGAGATGGATATGGCAATGTTTCTATAGCTGTTCTTGCATCGTTGAGCCTTGTGCAGCATTTGAACTCTTTGCATAACTTGAGTATAATTTCAGGGGCTTTGGCTATTGGAGGTATGTATACAGTTTTATTACCCTGTTTAGTGACCTTAGATATTAATTTTCAACTTTTTTACTTTGATGTTGATTTTGTTATCAGGATTAAAGAGTCAAAGTTAGAATGTTTCATGTTTAATTTAAAATGTGTGTTCAGAAGTGATTTAATTTTGAACTTCTACGTACTTGTCTTTCTTTTTCTTCTGTGGAATTGATTGTATTAATGATTGTATATAGACAGAAATTCCAATGTTATTGCAAAACTTGTTTTGAACTTCTGAATGTGATTTCTTTCTGCAGAATGGGATCCACTGTGTGGACCTGATGTTCCCCCAGGCACATTCCTGAATGTCTCATTGAACCTGCCTGCGAATCTCTCTCAAGGTCAAGAAGTATGTGTAACGTTTTCTGGACCTCGGGCGCTGCTGCCTGTGACCAGGTCACCACCTGTGTGTACACCTGCACCTCTACCTGTGAATGGTGCAACGGCCAAACTCTCAGGACGCAGTCGTGCTCCTGATGCTCTCGGAGAGAGATTTGAAGATGACTGGTGTGAAGATGGAGCAATCATGAGAATGGATTACCGGTCCAACCCTGAACTTGCTGTCATTCTTACTATTGTGAGTTTGTTTTTAGTTCAACAATAGTGTGTTTAAACACATTTGGCGTTTTATTATGATTTGCAAAAAGGCATACATCTTATGAATTCATGTGTACTATAAACCGGGAGTATTAGTGTGTGTAGTTATGTGACTGCTGCTGAATTTTCTTTGAAGTCAGTCGGGGCATGTTTTCTTAATTATCTGGTTTGAGGATGAGTAGTGTGGATGATAATTTTGTACTTTGATTTAGACCTAGTCTGTTGATGTTTAATTAGCTGTTACAGTGTCATCCAGTTAGGAACTTAACGTCTCTATTGTAACAGTGTTTAAGCTCCCGATTGAATGATACAATAATGGCTGCTTAAACGTCGACAGCTTTGTTTAAATCAAAGTATAGAGGCCGATTGCTCTGCTATAGATGCTTTTTTTTTTCTGAAGTGTATTTATTATCTTGTACAAATCCTATCTTTAGAACTGGGCAATGGCCTGATCCCTCACCCCCATAAAGCCCATCTCATATGATCTCTAAAAAAATTGTCTCAATGTGGATTATGCAGATACACAACAGTGTTTACTAATGTAAACTAGGCTATATATCTATTGTATATTTTCCTATAATTTGTACCTGGAACTTATTCCTTCATTTGAAGAATAGAATCCACATTGACTCGGTTTTTGGAAATCGTACAGAAAATAAGCATTTATAATTCACCTACTAGAAACACTGTTTTACATTTTTCAAGGGATCTAGATAAGTTGGTGAAAATGATTGGTAGTTATTTTTGCCCTAATAAAATACCAAACAATTACAACCCATTTTATTAAGTGGAATGAGTGAATGTTGAACTTCGTATGCCCTACTTGTCAAAAGAAAAAAAATTATTTTACTACTTCCCTAATTTTTTTCTAGTTTTGAGACACTCTTTTGAATTGTCTTGTTATCAATAAACCTTAATTTTTTAAACCATACCCAAAAAACTAATACATTACTGTATTCAGCATTTGTCACTGTTTTGAAAAACAGACTTGACCAGCACCACATAAAGTTTTATATTATATTCATTTGAAAACAGGGAAAGTATAAATGCTGTGACGGCAAAGGTAAATAGCATTGAAAAATGCCTAATAATTTCAAAAACGTATAATTGCTGATTTAAAGTGTATGTTTAATACACGAAATTGGAAGTGAAGTGAGCATTTGTCAAGTTGTGTATCACTTCTGCTAGGTGAAACCTCTTGTTAAAAGTTTGGAAATTGGCTACACATTTGTAAATATCTCCCCATTAATTTTTGGAATTGGAAACAAATGCACGTAGTCTGCGACTCCTGGCACCATATGGAATAATTCTGACTTTTCTAATCACAAATAGTCAAATATTTTTAGTGCTATCTGGGAACAAACAAGCATGTAAGAGCCACAACCACACTTGTTGTTTTTGTGTTCATGCAGCCAGGTAATAAGTGTAAATGTTAATTTCAGGGGCTACCTTGGAGCCTACATGATATTTTCTGGAAAATTGTTGGAATTTTTAAAAAAAATTTCGCTTATATAGAAAAATGTAAATTTATAAGTATGGTCTAGTTATGATTTTCTTTCAAACATTTAGAAAATTGCAAAAATGTATTTAAGTTTCAGATTTCCACTCAATCAAATTTCGTGAATTTTGTTTGAATTGAAGATAGTGGGCTTCAGATGTTTTATCACATTAACCGATGTTATAGTATTAATACAAAATTTTAATAAAAAATTATAAAATGAACAGTTATCTGCCATCATTTGTACATTATTTCATTGTGAAAGAGTTGTAATTAATCTATTGAAAGCATTCAACCTTTTGTCTTTGAAAAAACAATCAGTGCAAGAGTATTGTTGAAGAAGTTAGTACAGAGAGTTTACTTAAGTTCAAAGATTTGTGAGAGCATGATTTCTTAACCATATTTCCATACAGCTTACATGTACAGACCTTGATAAATATAAAACATTTCCATTACATTTTCAGAAAGTTGTTGAAATTTGGGTTCACAGTGCCCTTTTATTAGTGTTTAAGACTTAACACTGAACATCATCAAGCAATATTTTTGGGGGTTTCAATTATTTATGGTGTGAATATGTAGAACTTTTCTACAGCCACATCCCAAACATATCTATTTTTTGTCGTGCATCCATACTGCTCAAAACTTTTAAGATATGTGTGAACTTTCCAAGGCATTTTTCAATCATATTGATTCTTGTGGCCTGAATGTTTTCTGCGTGAATTCATTCAATTGTAGATCTTTAAAATGAATAGTTTGCATGATAATAAGGAAAGGCATAAAGCAAAATAATAACTCAAGAAGTTGTATCTCAAGAAATAATCAGAGCTGTAGAATTAAGTAAGAACAGTCGAGCACCTGGACCTGGTAATATATACAACAAATTAATAAAGTCCGCACCAGTTATACTCAATGAGATCCTGGCCAAGATATGTGTCTGAAAGTAGAGATCATACTTCAGGAGTGAAAACAGCAATAATCACTTCGCTGTATAAGGAAGGTAATAGAAAAGACTGCTCCAAGAATTGTAGAATCGGTATAATGCTGTCATTAGTTAGGGTTTATAACCGTATTTTGAAAGCATAGAGGAAAGTGAAGGATGCTGAAGAGCAAAATGGATTTAGACCAGGGTGCTCATGTATGGATAGGATATTTACATTACAGAACCTGATAAAAAAAGAGTGTAGAAGTTTAACAACTCGCCTAGCTTTTGTAGACCTACACAAGGCTTATGACACTTTTCCACAAAACAAGTAGAGGTACAGTTTTACAAGAATACAGTGTCGATAATTTTATGTTAGTGCCGTAAAAGAATTTTAATACTGTATGGGCCGACACTTTTAAAACCCATTTAGAGGAAGTCCTTGGAGAGTGGAAGAGGAAATGTAGTGGTATGGGCATTCCAGTCAGCAGTGAAATTATGTATACCCCATTCTTTGCCAACGATCAGGTCATTGTGGCCAGGCATACGGATGACTTGAGATATATGCTCTGTAAATCGAAAGAGGAATATGAAATATGGGGCCTAAAAATTAATATGTCTAAAACTAAGTGTCTGAAAGTAGAAGATGACGAGCTGGAAGATATAGACTGAAAGATTGTACAACCCTTAAATATTTAGGGGTCACTTTATCATATAATGGTAAAAGCAATGATAACATTAATAATAAAAGTGCACAAGGTAAGAGAGTGATCAGACAACTAAATTATGTGAAACAATAAAGAAACAAAAAGAACAAAGCATATTATTTACTCCTCAGTGGTTGAAAGTATCACTACCTATGACTTAGAAGTTTGGGAACTGCATAAAAGAGAACGAGACTGACTTCATGCACTTGAAATAGGTTTTTGGAGAAGAAGCAGTGGCACTTCCAAATTGGAACACATACAGAATGAGAAAATAGAGGATATGATGGGTGTTAAAAGAAACATTATCAACAAAATTGAAACCAAATGCATCCTCTGGTATGGTCATCTAGAAAGAATGGAGTTTAGATGGCCAAAATGAATATATGGAAATGGATTTTTCCTGAGAGACGAAAACTGGGTTGACCACCAACAAGCTGGACCCAAGTTGTACATGTCACGATGGCAGCCATAGGACTACAGGAAGGAGACTGGGAAGATTGAGAAAAATAGAGATTGGGAAGTCAGATGTGGCATCAACCGTAAACAACTCACTATATATGTATTAAGTGAAATTTGGTTCATCCCTTGAAAATAATTAATAACTTGTGAGTGAATTGTTTGCCTTCGTTTATCTTTAGCTTCATCACACTTGTTTCAGTTCTCAACATTCTCTTCTAAAAACATTCGTACATTGAGCCAGATCTAATACCCAGCTACACAGTTCAACCTTGAGGTCTTGTTAAGATTTAGTCTATTGAATTAATTTTTGTTGGACTTTTGGAAGTCCTTTAATACCAGACCCAGTAATAACATAGGTTTATGTCAAGTGGGGTGTATTGATTCACATGTTTATAGTGTATAAAGGTTCTGATACACATTCTGTTTAGCCTTCTTGGTGAGTCAGCTGATGAGAATGTTTTGAGGTGGAGTGATAAAATTGCCGAATGTATAAAAACAATAAAATGTTAATATGTCATTAATTAAATTTTGTTACTTAAATGCAATGAAAAGGATTTTAATAGCTCTTACGTACCTTGTTAAATTATTTATTATGTTAGATAGTTAAATCCAGGTCTTTAATACAACTTAGTTAGCGTTCTTCACCTATCTTCTTAAACAATATCCCCTTATCTATGTAATCTTAAATATTTAATTTGTTTCATTTTATTGTATTGTTGACATTCTTTTATTCAAGTCAACTCACAGGCAGCCAGCCCAAATATCATAATAATAAAAAAGTTAAAAATGCAGAGTATTTCAGATTTTTGTATAACTTAACTTAATAATACACAATTCACTTTTGATTTAAATGCAGGCATGGATATAACTCGCGGCTTCATATTCTAGAAAGTACATAGTACATGGAAAATACAAAGTACATACATAATTACTATATATATATATATATATATTAATATAATTATAATTTATATTTTTCAGAATGATCGTTCACTCATAAATCTACATCTTATGCATACCAGCTACTTTCTTTTTGTTATGGCCATGACTGTTGTATGCTATGCTCTCATTAAGGGAAAACCCAAACAGAAGATCATGCATATTGAAAAGGTACGTGGGTATGTCAAGTGTGTTAAGGTTATGTGGAGCTTTTTGCTCATATTGTGATGCAACCTGCGGGCATTCGTTGATAGAAAACTCATATTTTTCTCATTAATAATCAACAAAATTTCTGTAATGAGACATCTGTTCTGTTGTCACTTTTCTACAGTATTTAGCAATTAACTTTGTTTCTGGAAATTAAGTTCGAGAAACATAAGTGACAATTATAGGAAACTGTGAATACTGTCAAGATTTAATAAAAAAAGAGACCATTAATTTAATTCTGTTGTGTGAAGATGCATAATATTCATAAGGCTTTAACCAATAGAGAAAATTAAGATTTTGAGTGTGGAAAAACTCTTAGTAATGATCTGACATGACAATGTTAGTTTATCAGCACAAAATGTAAGATTCTTTAGGTTATTTAAGTAACATTGTTTGATTTTTCAAGTTTGGTATTTGGTTACAGCTCCTGGTATATGTGTGTGTTGTTGGTCTCTTAGTATATTTTTATCTTATATAGCTGAGAAGGGCAGGAGAAAACCACATGATTTTATCAGGGTTCTTATCCTGACCACCCTATAATAAGTTTCATTGCCTTTTATAAAGAGAATAATTCGCATTAAAATAGTTTTTATTAAAAATTTTTTACTCTAATAAAAGTTACTTTAATAAATTATATTTATAATGTTTTAGAAATAATTGAAACCTGATTCCACTTGTGGATATTTATTCTAAATTGTGAATTCTTTGTACTTAGTGTTAAGAGATTTTCTTAGTTATTAGAGAAAGTTGATTAAAGAGGAAAATGCATTTCTTGTTTTGTTTTATAGGTTACCTTGGATCCCTGATGTTTCAGAGAAAGGTCATGAAGAAAGCAATGCTCTGTTGGAAACTAGTCCACTGTGAAAGGAAATTTTTGTTTCCTTGATTATCTGTTTAATTTCAATATGCCATATTTGGTTGACCAGGAATAATAAGCAATTGCTATTAATGTACAGTGGCCTGTGTTGCAATTTTATGTACATACCTGCAGAACAGGATATCTTGAAAAAATTGTAAAAATTCAGTGATTATTATTATTTTTTACCATGTTGAACCGTGTTTAATTCCCGTGCAATGCTGTGAGAATTACTGAGTGCAGTTGTCCTTTTGTAGCTCCTCCCTGAAGCATGGTGTCCTGTGTTTGAAATGTTGTGTTAAGTTTTATGAGAATAGAATGGGGTAAGACTGGAATAATGTGAGATCTGTTTTCTGTACACTAAATTAAGCCTACAATGTATACAAGGAGGCGATGATGGATATGTGTGAAAAGTTGTTCAATAAAAAACAATTCTACTCCTTTTTATGGCTTCCCATTTGAATCCTCAATTCATCTTCTTTTACTAGTGTAGAATACAAATATCTATATCTATATATCTATCTACATATGTATATATCTCTCAATATATCTATTTATCTATCTATATATAATATAATATATATAATTTTTACAGTGTGTTGATCAAGTATTGAAGATAGAAATCATTAATTTAATCTCTGGTTTAAATATAAGTAGAATTGATGTTTAATCAACTGGGATGTCCAATTGGAAGCTTCATTATGTCCTAATTTTTAATATTGAGGGTCACACTGTTTGTTTAAATCAGGGTATAGGATACAATGATTACGTTGCGGGGGAGGGGAAGACCAAAACAATAAGTACAGAAAGACAAAGACAAAGTGTGAGAGAAAATGTTGTATGCAAGGTTGACATTCTTGATTCACACAATACTGCTAATATAACATGGGTAGAAAGATTGGCTGTGGATTCATGGAATACTGGCAAGAGGGTTGGGGCACGAGTCATTGCAACTATTTTTCTTTTGTGAGAATACAAGCATGGGTGGAAAATGTAAAATATGCACATGAGGACAAGGTATAAACTAAGTGCATGGACATTTAACGACACACCAAAATTGTTTCTCATATTAAGGTATTTGAAATGACAGGAACACCTGGACAAGTATTTCAGGTCTAGTGCTTAACCAGGAACCCCCCCCAGCCTTTCATTCTGCGGTTCATGATGATGAAGAAGAAATTGGTTCCATATTCTAAAGTATTTTTGCATGTACTAAAATAATATATATAAAATGCTTGGGATGTTGTGAAGAATCACAACATCCCAAGCATTATACTTGTTCTAAAGGCCTGATTAGGCAGATGCCCAATTACAACACGCATTGCATTGTTCCACACACTTGCTACTCTCTTGCCCAACTCCTGAGTGTCTGATATGGAAGGACATTATTCTCAAGAGCTTCAACCAACTCCCTGGGCCGTTCTTGGATGTTTCTCTTGATGCATGAGCAATACACAAAACGGGTTACGTTCATCTCACACAGCAGAAGTCGGACAACTGATTTCACATTGCTCTCTGTGCCTTATGATTAGAATCAGTCGATTGTGTTACATTTAGAGTTTAAATAACTTACAATAGATTGAATTCATTTGATGTTAATAATTATAAGTGCTTCAATGTCCTGTCACATTATTTACATTACTAAATAGTGGGTTATCTTATCAAACTGAATGACTGGTACATAAAGTGATCATTCTTGTAGCGATACATGGTTTTTAACTACAGAAAAGTTAAAGCCATTTAGATATATTATATGGACACACACTAATAAGGTAATGTTTAAGTAGTGTTTTGAAGTATTTATTATTATCTGATTTTATGGTAACTGGGAGATTATTACAAAACTGAGCATCAGTGCAGAAAGGATTTTTGTTAGTTGAAACCTTGATAGTGTATATCCTGTGATAATATCTTTGCCCTTTATAAGAGTAGTTATGTATCTCTTTATTACTTACAAGATATTAATTCCAATTATTTCTCAATAGTAGCAATACTTTGTCCAAGTAGAGTGCTACAACAGTCTAAAATTCATAAACAATAAAGGAATCTTTAAAGAATGTCTCAGATTCAGTTTGAAAATGCTTCTGACACATTTCTTTTGTAGGACATTTTTGCATTATCCATATTTTTTATTATCCATATTATTGTACCGTATTTCAATACCAAATTGAAGTTGCAATAAGATTGTGCCTAAATTTGACTGAAAGAAGTGCATCTCCTTCCATTATCTGGAAAAGTATCTCAAAAGGAATATATTGAAATTTACTTTATTACAATGTGTGTTGACTTATTTGTTATTGTTATTTGATCTATGAATATTCCTAGAAATGTATGACAATCAGTTTGATTCACTGATAAATTTCCTACTTCACTTTAATGTATTGGTGTTGGTAACTATGATGAAACTTGAAATTGATTAATACAGTTTTATCAACATTTAATTTCAATTCATTTATGTACAAATAACTTTTAACCAATTTTCATGATTCAGTCATATTTGTTTCTAGATGATAAAGATTTTGCTCACTGCTTATTAATGTTGTATCGTGACAGTCAAACTTTCAAGTATTCATTCAAAATAATCCCTAAGTATTTAAAACTTTCAACCCATTCAATGTTGAGGGGCAATTTCATAATTAACATTGCATTACTATTCTAATTTAACCATTGTATATTAATGACCATGAAGTAGAAATAGGAAATGTACATCACACAATTTGTCGAAGTGAATTAAAACAGTTTGCTGACTTTTAGGACTATTTTTATTCCATTTCTGATTTCTAAAATATAAATTGTGAATAGGATAAAATTCCAGTTGTAATAGTGTTTAAAATATTGTTAATTAGTATAATGTTTGATTGAAAGTCCCAGGAGTGCTTTAGCTTTGCACAATGCAAGCAATTGTGATGCATCGTTATCCTTTGAAAAAAGATCTTTTCTCAGGATTTGATAACATGATTCATGCTTTTAAAACCAGAACTTTTAGAAAATCTTTTCAAGGTAAGGAACCATGAAGAGTAGAGAAAGAACAATATACTAAAACATATGAATAGTGTAATTATTTTGATCAAGTGAGTTTCATGAAATATAATGGGATGGCTCCATATAAAGATTTTCAAAACATATTGGTGGATAGTTAGTACAGAAATTACCTTTGAGGATAGTAAGGAACATGATTGAATTTTGGTTTGTTATTAATATTGATTTAAATTTTAATGATTTAAGAGGTATTTAATATTTGTTCAATATTTTTATTACTTTCTTACATGTATTTAATGAATTGATAAGTGAAAGATGTATATTTACTTTACAATTGTTTTATATGAGGTTCAGATTTAAGAATAATAAAAACAACAACAATACATCCATTTTGTTGTCAATATGCATGTGGGAGAACCTACTTGTTCCGGCTACATTTTATCATTTTGCAATCTACTCTAATAAATTTTTGTAATAGTTAATTTACATTATTACGTTTTATTGATTTGGTTCATTAACACAAATTTTATCACAGATGTTTAAGCACACAAGCTCAATAAAGATTATTCCTGTCTGCGATACTAGCCCGCTGGCCGATGCGGTGATTTGAACGAACATTGGCCGTGCGACTTACAGCAGCTGATTGCAGCCAACATGGCGGCAACTTTCACTGTGCGTTGTGCTGCGATTGAGTGTGTCAACTAAACAATAATACTTTTTGCCACTGAAAGATGATTTGAAACAGTTAATGGTATGTTGTCAATTGAAGCAATTTCATTTATTAATTTGTTCACTGTGACATTTTTTATGGTCATCACAAATAAAATTATATATAGTTCTTTGAATCACGATCTATTAGGTAACATTGTTGTATATCGTTTAGTTAAAAAATGGCTAAGGAAGAATTGGAAGACCTTTTACCCGATGTTGATGCAGCCAAAGGATTTTATGCCAAATATGAACCAAAGGAAATTTTAGGACGGTATGTATTAACCTCACTTTTATTGCTTTTCAAAATCATAAATTTGATTTAACTTGAATACATTTTTGTAGAGGTATAAGTTCAACTGTCAGACGTTGTATAGAAAAAGAAACCGGGTTGGAGTTTGCTGCAAAAATCATAGATTTAAGCAATGATTCTCATGAAGTAGCTGATGGAAAAACTATGCTAGAAGCTACTCTTGGAGAAGTCAATATATTGAGAATGGTAGCAGGACATCCTTACATAAGTAAGTAAAAGTGACATAAATAAACAAACCAGAAAGGATGTTGGTTTAGATATGCATTTTTGTTAATGGTTTTGTTTTAGTTGAACTTCATGATGTATTTGAGTCAAATACTTTTGTTTTCTTGGTATTTGAATTATGTAGAAATGGAGAGTTATTTGATTATTTGACATCAGTTGTTGCTCTTTCTGAGAAGAAGACAAGGTAAGCACACATGCTATTGGGATCCTCTCAGTGAGAGGATCTACTGGTGTGAATTTTATGAGCTATGTTTGTGCAGCCTACATAACCAAAATTTTGTTATTGCTAGGTACATTATGCGACAACTATTTGAAGCTTTGCAACATGTCCATGGTAAGAGTATTGTACATCGCGATTTGAAGCCTGAAAATATACTTTTAGATGATAATCTCAACATTAAGCTGACAGATTTTGGATTTGCTCGACATTTGAAGACTGGAGAAAAATTATTTGGTAAATGGCTATCCTTATTTTCCTTTCATTAAAGTGGTTTCAAATTCTTGAAGTGATATTGTTCTTAGGAGCAAATTAACTTCAACATAATGTGAATGATGATTTTTTAGGAACTCCATAATTAACCATAAATGTTCTTTTTGTGTTCTGCAACCCATAAAATATTAGGCTGAAATGTTTTTAGATATGATAAATTTTAGAGAGTGAAAACATACCAAAATTGATTCTAGGTTTTTTAGGAAACCTAAAGTTGATGACATTTTTCATTTTTGAAAATGAATCTCCCTGATCACATATTGATTTACTAGAAATGTATGTGGATTGAATACTGAATTTTTTCAGCAGAAGTGTTACTTTTGAAAATTTGAATATCAATATTTAAATGGGGGTTTACTAACTTATATATGTAGCCACATGAATCTAGGAAGAATGGAAGAAAATTCCATGTACACAAGATAGGCTCATCGCAGTAGCACAATGCTCAAAGATGAAACTTAAAATTCTTATTTAGTTACATTGTTGTTGGAAGAGGACTTGATACAGAAATGAAAGCGAAGTAATTATTTACTTCACTGATTTGGTAATGAAATCTGTTTACAATTCTGTGCGCTGCAAAGCTACTTTTTATCAAGCCACAGACAACTGTCTCAAAGTGCAATTGGTTAAGAAGGCATACATTGTCACATGACAACCTGTACATTTGTCAGGAGAGTACCTCCGTGCAAACCCTTCGAAATTTCATCTCTGTCGAGTGTCGCGTGCATTGCGTTGACACGCGTTACATCACGCTATCTTACTCGAAACTGGAGTCCCTGTACGTATGTATGTGTGTAAGTGTGGGTGGGTGTGTTTTAGCTTTGAACGTGCGTGGACTACTACGCACGTCGTCAAGAGCGTCCGTGTGTCGTGTGTGTTTTGTGTAAGATAGTGTTAACAATGCTGGCGCTAGGCACGGGCAGATCCGGCGATCGCCCGAAGCCCTGCAAATCTAGTGATCGAGTCAAGGAGCCCGGTGATGGGACTGACTAGTAAAACATTGAAAGAGAAATTAGAAATTGAAGAGATCGTTATTATATATCGTATCGTATAAGTCACGGTAAGATGGTCTTTCGTAAAATTTTCTGTTAATTTTTTATCTTAAATATTTAATTAAACGGCTAGTCATTACTTACTTATAAGGTAGAACTGTATGACATGAATCAAATCATCATTAAAATAGGTTTTACTGTAATCCATATTATTTAATATGTTTAACAAATGATTTTGTTAAACACTCACTAAACAAAATTTGTTAATATTTTAAGATCGGTATGGAAATTGCATTATTTGATCTCTAAATACTTTTACTTAAAACTAATATTTAAAATATATTTCCTAGAACTTTTTTCTAGCTGAACGTAATTTTTATTTGTTAGTATATAGTTTTTTTTACAACTTTCACATTTTTTTTCGTGTGACTACGTTTGAGCACTGCTCCGGGCCCAGAATTGTTGAGCTCCGTTACTGTGTGTTAATTGAATCGTGTGCGCAGGCATCGAGGCGGCTGTCACGAGCTTTAGTTGATGCGCGTCAACGCAACGCTCATGTGACACAGGTTAAAAGCTGATTTTGAAAAGCCTCCTACAAATTGATGTGTACAAGTCAGGAAGTTAGTTCTGGAGTTAATGGAGCCATATTATTTATTTTCGCTAGTAATATCAATATTTGTGTATCTGGGAAAACCTTCATTGGCATGTTTATTTATTATTAGAAAACAAATATTCATCTAAATTCGTATTTTTACAGGAACGTGATACGTGTGAACCCCTTTTTAGTGTTAACAAGACATTCTGAATGTTCTAGAACAATTTTTATCTTATTTTATTTCACCTTTTACAACATTTTTCGTTACATTGTAATATACAGGGAGTCTCGCAACTATGGGATTACCCCATAACTTTTAAGCTGTTGATGATATCGAAATGTTTTTGTTCAACAATGTGCAATCACGGGGAAAATAATATGCGATAAAGATATAGCTGGAAATTTTAGTTTTCGAGAAATTTAATCACTTTTAATTTTTTAAAAGGTGTATATTTTTTCTCACTAGCAAAAGATAGGTTTTAAAAAGAGGAATGCAATGATGTAACATATGTTAAAGTTTTGAGTATAAAATTATACTCTCTGACATTGATTTTAAATCAAATGTACTAGATTTCCTATAGCATATCTTGCAACTGTTGCCGGTTACTGTTGAAGGGATGGGAGGGTCCGCGAAGGCCACCTTCCCCAAAGGCGACGGTTGCTAGGGCAAAACAACAACATACTGCTGTCTCTTTTCCAACACAATATATTTTCTAAAATTGCCAAAAAAAATTTCAAATGAAATTATATTTGAAATTAAAGCAATGTGAAAAATAGTTGTGCACTTTCTCGCATTATTTGAAAATTTGCTATTTTTGAAAATTCAATGAAAATGAGACCTGCGTCATTCTTTTTAGCATTCCTTGTTCTATCAATGGAAATAAATTTTAAAAAAAATTTGGAACGGTTTTTGAGAAAATGTAATAAATTTCAAACACAAATTACGTAAAACCACTCACTTTTTCAAAAGATTGTATGTAAACGTTTTTTTAAGAGCTGATTTTGTTTAACGATAAAATAGCTATATTCAATTTTGTAGTTTTTAAATATTAAAATGTAACGATTTTCGAAAATCATACGCTGGGACTAGCACTACTTTTTTACTGTCCTTTAATACATACGAGGAGAAAATTCAAAGAAAAAAATTGGAGCCGTTTGTGAGAAAAATATTTTAAAAATTGTCTACATTTCTCACAGAAATACGCGAAAACTAATATTTTTGATAAAATATACGTGACCTTATTTCGAGGTGTCTTTATAAACAGATTTTATTTAGGAAAAAAATCTCTATCTATAATTGTAGTTGTAGGAAGATGTTGGAAAAACCAGGGATTTCAACGCAAATGACACCTGCATCATTCTCTTAAGCGCCCTTTACGATTTCCAAGGACAAAGTTAAATAAACAAATTGAAGATCTTTTTGAGAAAATTTTGAAAATGTTGAAGCTTTATATAAAGTACCCTCAAATATCCATTTCAAACCCAGAGGTCCTCGAGTTTATTTAATTAGATCGGAGAATATCAATTTTGGAGAAAATTGCCGGAACTGTTTAGGCGTTGACTTAAGACAGACGGACGTTTTGCCGTAAATCGATTTTTCGGTATTAAGGACTCAAAAAATATGGATTCTGACTAAACGTTTTAGAGGAAACCAAACAACGTTTTAGAGGAAGATTAATTTACTATATATAGGGATTAAATGTATCCACCTTTTCGTTACCGTCAACCTTTTTCCGGCACACAATTACAGTAATTTCTCTTCCTACGAAGTGAGGGTGAGAAAGTAAACAAACAAAAATTCCCCCCAATTTTTTTCCACTGAGAAAAGGAATGCTTAAAAGAATGGCACAAGTATCCTTTTTGTTAGTCTCTTAACTTTCGAAAATTGCAAGTTTTGAAAGAATGCAAGAAAATATGTGCTGATCTAGTCTCGTTTGTGTATTGCAATAAATTCCGTTCCCTGCTTAATATTTATGGTCAGTTACACTGTTATATAGGTCAAATTGTATCGATTAACTCATGAAAGCTTATAATTCCAACAATTTTTGATATAGTGTTTGAATACATATTCTTGTTTTCACACAAATTTAGATCATTATTGTGTACATGTTGATGGAGAAATCTGTTCTAAATATTTTGATTTTTAGTTGAAAACTCAATTTCAATGATATTTTATGTTAAAATAAATTTGAAACCGAAGAGAATAAGTTGTGCAATCCACACACTGCATTAAAATGACCTTCATTTCATTATTCTTGGGCTTTCTAATAAGAATTTATTTTGATGTCTAAATTGATACAAAGTAGTTATTTGACAGACCTTATGTAATAAAACTCCCTCTCTCCCTCTCTCTCCCTCT